CGGTATCAGCCTTGTCGTTCCCAGCTCGCCTCCAACGTCTGGTTACCGAAGTAACTGTTTTGATTTCTAGTCTAACCTACCCACGTTGTGATTTGATCTTAGGTAGACGAAATCAATCAGTCGCCGGGCCGTAATGCAAGTCGAGACCGATTAAGGGCGATATCGCACAAGTATATGTAAAATAAAATAAAATAATAACTCGAAAAGTTCAAATGTGGTAAAAAAAGGATAACAATATTTTATATCTGGTTGCTAAATACAGGACTGCTTTTTCTTCCCAACCCGCTATATGGATTCGTGACACTTTGTGTTTGTTTGGCGAGTCTTAACATCTTAAGTTGTTTGTTCTTTAAGAAACTGGTTCTTGGTGTATCTTCAGGCGATATTCGTAAAATTTGTTTTGCTGGTGTGAGTCTAAGTCGTTCTTCTCAAATAAATTGTTCTTGGTTAGAAGTTGAGGTCGATAATGCGCGAATCTTAGTCAGCTTCTGCGAGGCGGGTCTTCAGAGCTCTCAGCTCACTGCAACTGCTTGCCTGTCTGTCTCCAACCCCAACTGCGAACCTAACTTGACTTAACTGGAACTTAACTGCTTTTCACTCGCTGTGACTCTGCTTATATGGACGCCGACCAAAACCGGGGTGGGCTTGTCGGGGTTTGGGGTTCCTTGATAATTCTAAATCCACACTCCACTTTGTTTTCGGTCAGGAAAATTTATTATTTTCCATTTTTGGAAGTCTTTCGTCCTCCCACCTTCTTCTGTTCTCATATTGGTGTCTCACCAAACCCTCAGAGGGTGTCAACGGGTTTCCCCTCTCTCTCACAGTGGCATCTCATACCGATCCCTTCAGGGGGGTGTCAACAGGCCTCCCCTCCTTCTTCACATGATTACCTTCGCCTGCCACTCACACCAGCATTCAGCCAATGGGCGCCCAGCAGTGTGGTGCCAATTATTCGTTCTAATAAAATAATTTTGCTATCATAGCCAGCCTTGACAATAAACAGGTGTTTTTCCCAAATGACATGGAGGTGGTTCAACGGACATTTTGGTTTCGATCAAACTTGACCGAATTAATTTTTATCTCCCAGCACTCTGCGGGAGGTCGCTTGTCCAACTTAAAATTTTTACCATTGCCATGGGCAGATTGGATATATCTTATTCGGTACGTCGTCATAAATTAAATTAAATCCGACACATCCGCGACCTTAATTTCCTCGCTATATATATACGTGTGTATACATATATATATGTATATGTACGTGTATATATATATATATATATATATATGTGTATATGTATATATATGTGTGTGTGTGTATATATATTTATATGTGTGTGTGTGTATATATATTTACATGTTTGTGTGTGTGTGTATATATATATATATATATATATATATATATATATATATATATATGTGTGTGTGTGTGTGTGCATATATATATATATATGTGTATATATATATATATATATATATATATATATATACACACACACGTGTGTGTGTGTGTGTGTGTGATGGAGTAGACAAGACATCCTCAGTAACTACAAATGCACTACTGGTCTTAAATAAAGAACTGAACGTGAGTCTCAGTAGCAGTCAATTAGAGTCAAGCAGAGTTCGTTGTCTGACACGCGATTGTCAAACTATGTCTTCGGGCAGAGTAGGACTCAGTCGATGCACTCCGACCCGAATGTACGTGCTCGGGTACCCCACAGCAAACTTGACCTTGTGTCACATCTCGTCTCAGTGGGGAGACTGGGAAAATATCAGTCCGTGGGAGTCAGACAGTCCAGTCTCTGGCTTGCTGCTGCCGGGCTCTGTCTTCTCAGTCCCATCACTAAACTTGACTTTGTGTCACATCCGATTTCAGTGGGGTTACTAGATCACCAGTCAATCTGAGTCAGGCATTCCGCTATCTGGCACGCAATTGTCAATCTCTCTCTCTCTTCAGATTGCAACTCAGTAGCAGTTCTGTCTACAAACGGAGACTCATTTGAGAAAAAGAGACAATGCAAAATATCCGATCCTACGGTATGCACTCGGGTTAGCCACTGTAAACTCGACCTTGTTTCACATCCCGTCACAGTGGGATTAGAAGTTTCGCTATCTAGCTCGCTATTATCACTCTCTCTCTCTCTTCCGGCAGAGTACCACACAGTCGGGGCTCTGTCTACGTTACCCACACTAAACTCGACCTTTCACATCTCCTCACAGTGGGATTAGACGTTTCGCTATCTATCTCGCTATTGTCAGACTCTCTCTCTCTTTCGGCAGAGTACCACACAGTCGGGGCTCTGTCTACGTTACGCACACTAAACTCGACCTTGTTTCACATCTCGTCTCAGTGGGAAGACTGGGTAAATACTAGTTCGTTGAAGTCAGTCGGGAATGACGTCACGAAGAGTAACCTGAGCGAGACATAATATTATAACCGCTAGGAGTGAGTTATAACAGTGGCGATGTGGGATCGAAACTCATGCGGAGTAGGAAAAAGTACTTTTTGCTTCGGCGCACATGATAACATTGACTACGAGAAATTAGAACCACGTAAGTTTAATTTTTTTTACTTTGGTGTGTGTAAAAAAGAGAAAAACAAAGAACAAACGAAAAAGAAAAAAATAAGATATTCTTTTAATATAAAATAATTATTAACTCAAGTGGTAAAAAATACAGCAACAGCAAAAACAGCAACAGCAACAGTTTTTAGAACTCCAGAAACAACAAAAAATTTAATTGAAATAATACGGAAGAAAACGGAAAATTACCCAAGTTCTTTCACTCCCGACACGATGGCAAAGGCCATAACTGAATTTACTTACAGTTCAGATGATGGAATAATCTTTCTTGCTTATTTTAGAAGATACGAACAAATTTTCAGAGAAGAATGCAGCGACTGGGAAGACAAGAAAAAACAAGACTTTTGTTGAGAAAGTTAGCATCAGTAGAACATGAAAAATATGGTAATTTTGTAATACCGAAAAAAAAAAAGAAAAAAAAAAAGAGAAGTTTTCTTTGAAGAAACTGTAAATATTCTGACTAAACTTTTTAGCGAGAAGTGTTCGTTATTCAATACTCGTTGGAAGTGTATGAATCCGGCAAAAAAAAAAAAAAAAAAAAAAAAAGGAAAGAAAAGAAAAAAAGAAGACGATAATTTTATCACATATGCTGGAATCGTATGGGCACCTCGGTTCTGAAATAAAATTTTCGTCCACTGCGTTGCGACGGAAAAAAATAATTACAGAAAACCAAAAAAAAAACAAACAAAAAAAAAAATTGTGTATATTAAAATTAATAATTTGGATGTAAAAATGCAACTAGACACGGGTAGTGATATTATGATAATCAACGAAGACACATGGAAAACTAACGCAAAACCTATATTAAAAAGAATTTCGAAAATCGCACGTGGCGTGTCGGGTAAGAAATTAATTTTTATTGGCGAAATGACTTGTAACGTTTTATTTCATAACAAGTGTGTAAAAGCTAAGGCTTATATGTTAAAAATACTACAAACTTATTCGGTACTGACTGGGTGGAATTAAGTTGTGGGATTTACCTATAAATATTTATTGTAAAAATTTAAGTCAACGAGCTACCAGTTGAAAAAACAACTGCGAAAATTTAAAGGAAGAATTGAAAAAAATGTTTCCGGATGTTCTGTCGGAAGAGTTGGGTCGGTGTTTCAAAGTCAAAACGGAATTTCAAGTGAAAAAAATGGTTGACGCCAGTGATTAAACCGAAGAGTAGTTTACTTTTCGCAGTATTAGATCAAGTCAGCAAAGAATTAGACAGACTTGAAAAAATAGGTGTGATCGAAAAGATTTGACCATTCAAAATGGGCAGCACCAGTAGTGGATGTAAAGAAAAAAAAAATCGTCTTTCTGCTGATTTTTCGACTAAGTTAAAAGAAATGTTTAGAATATCATAACTACCCATTATCAGAAGAAAATTTTTGCGAAGTGAAACGATCAAAAATCTTTTTTTTTTCGAAGCTGGATTTTTCTGAAGTGTATTTGCAAATACAGGTTGAAAAAGAATATTAATAATTATAAATACTCACAAGGGATTGTATAAGTTCAACCGACTTCCTTTTGGGATAAAAATTTGATTTTAACCAAATTTCTTTATATTCACGTTTAGCACAAATTCTTATTCTCTGTCTTTAGATCTTATAACGTGTTCTATTATTGTAATCTCTACAGTATGCACAATGATCCTTCCACTTTTCCAAAATACAAACGCTGACCCACTACTCACGGATCCATTCATAGTTCGTACTTATTTTGACATCTGCAATGTTTGTAAATGGTCAATTAAAAGACTTGAGTTATAAAGTTGCAAAAAAAAAAAAAAAAAAAAAAATGACCCGGTGCAGAAGTTTTAAAAATGACTTTTCTTTTGTAGAATGGTCAGATTGCCAGAAAAGGAGGGCCCATCATTTGCAATAACCGACTCCTTTGCTTTATTCGTTCGATGCTTCGTTGATTAATTGAGCTGAGAAAGAGAGAATCGATGTAAACAACCTGCTAAAGTCATAAATAATAAAATCATGTATTTGTTTTGTTCAATTATTTTAAAGTCTAACGCAAGTCAGTAAGCAATTTTCAGACCTGATCCGTTTTTACTGTCTGCCGCGCAAAAGAGATTACTTTCTAAGTGAATCAATAATGTACTACGATATGATTATATGTACTTTAGCAGCCATCTATAAACCGTTTTGCATCGGCTGACGAAAATTCGCGCGGTAAAGTTGTTTAGCGGCAGACGAGATATATCGCGAGAAATTTATTTCTTCTGAGTCTAGATTTGATTGATTTTTACAGCTTATCTACCTTTTTCAGGTTATTTAAAGCCATAAAATATTTTTAGAATGTAAGAATTCCTTTTGGAGATAAGATTGATTTACTAATACATGTTCTACTAATTAACCCATAGCTGGGGAAGAAGTGAATTCATGCCTTTTCCCAAGTGTCCGATTGTACAACCGCACATCAAAGCCTACAGCACTTGATATTCCCAAGCAGTCACCCATCTAGGTACTAACCGGGCTCAACGTTGCTTAACTTCAGTGATCGTATGAGAACCAGTGCTTCAACGTGATGTGGCCGTAATCCTCAAACTTATAGAAGGGATAATGAAACAAGCTTTTAAGACACTGTGTCAAGAACCAGCAAATTAGGTACTTCACTTTGTAGTATTATTTTATTAAAGTTTATTCACACCTCCAAAGTATTTGGCTTCTGCTTTGCCTTTTTAACTCAATTAGCAAAAGTTATATTTGAAAAAAATCAAAAGACGTTAATAAAAGATATAGTGTAAAGGTTGAAGAATTTGATTGATTTTTTTACAGCTTATCAACCTTTTACAGGTTATTTAAAGATTAAAATATTTTTAGATTGTAAGAATTTTTAGAGATAATGATTTACTGATACAAGTCGTACTAATTAACTTATAACTGGGAGTGGCGGTAGAATAAATGGATTCATACCTTTCCCAGGGATATTTGTACGTAAATGAATATAAAAAAAACACAAGTGGAATTGGAACTCTTCAATCTCCAATTCCAAGTCGGTATCCATTACATCACCCACACATCCAAGATTACATTCACTTGGTATTCCCAAAAAGACACCCATCTCGGTACTGACCAGGCTTGATATTGCTTAACTTCAGTGATCGGATGAGAACCAGTGCTTCAACGTAATGCGGCTGTAATCCCCAAACTTATAGAAAGTATAATAGGACAAACCGTTAAGACATTGTATCAAGTACCAGCAAAGTAGATACTTCATTTTGTAGTATTATTTTATTAAAGTTTACTTACTTATCCAAAGCTTTTGCTCTGTTTAAAAAAAACCCCAAAAAACTCAATTAGCAAGTTAGGTACAGCTAGATACTGACCAGACTCAACGTTGCTTAAAATCACTGCTTCAACGTGATATGGCAGTTCTGAGTCTGGAAGTGAACTGAATAAGTAGCTTATGACAAACTGTCGATGCTGATGAAGGCAGGAACGTAATGATTAAACTGGAGTAGCTGACAAGATATTTCGATCATATAACATAATATAAAAGCACCCGGACCCATAAACAGAGAAACGAATTTCTTCTGGTCATTGTCGTTAATTGTTTTTGTTACTTTGACATCCCACCTACTTTTATTTCTTTCCCATTATCTCTGTGTGGTTACCTTTCTCATGATGCATGGGTTCGAATATCCTAGTCTCCATTCATTCATATTTACAGCATACAACACCTGTCTTTCCATATGTATTATTTTCTCTGCCTGGGAACTGAATTCGATTATCACCATAATTTGCCAAAACGGTTTCTTGATAATATCAGCCTATGATTCAGTGTCTGAAAAGCCACACCATTGGTTTGACGCAACACTGTTGTGTGAAATTACGTTGATGAAACTGCTCAGAAGCAGTCAGTGATTAAGACTTGAGAGAACAGGAAGTTGTTATGACAGGGTGTTTGATCGTACTGGCCATGTTCAATTATTGATCATGCTCTCTCTCTCTCCCTCTCTCTCTCCCAGAAACTGTAATTAAAGTCTGCTTGCAATAGTTGCAGTATAAACCACAAGTTTAAGAAAATAAAAGAAGGCATGAACAGGCGTCTACATTAGGTACAAGCTAGCCATTCTAGCAAACAGATATTTATTACATTTTCTCTAGCTGAATATAGTTCTCAGTACAATTGATATTTACTAAATTTTTGGTTGACTAATGTCAGGAACAAATCTTCTGTGTGCTGTATCCCTTCAGGACGTTGGCGATCATAGCTCTCCACCTTTTCCTGTCTTTTGTAGCTCTTAATAAATTTTGTGTATATTTTATTTCTCCTAAAGCTTGTTCTAGCATCGATTTAATCAAGCCCCCTAGGTAGGTTATGCGCTGTTTTCCGCTGTTTCTCTTGTCATCAATCTGCCCTGTGGGTATCAAATTTTCCAAGCCCAGTTACCTCATAAAGTACGCTAGAAATTTCAACTGACTCTTTTTGATTCAAACTATAAGTATCCGTTTTGTTTCTATTTTCTCTAAAATTTCGCCGTTGATCACATGTTTGGTCTATGGAATTCTCAGCATCACATTTTTGGTCTATGGCATTCTCAGCATCACATGTTCGGTCTATGGCATTCTCAGCATCATATTTATGTTGCTTCAAGTCTCTTCTTCATATGTACGGAGACTGTTCAACATCCACTGCCATATTGGAGGAGTGATATTACGTAAGTGTTAGGTACTCTTTTCTTTGTTTTTAACGAATTTTTCTGTTTCTTAATACTGTCCTTAGATTTTGGAAAGTATCTTTCGCTATGCCAATGCGCCTTCGGATTTTAGTGTCGCACTTTCCGTCTTCTTCTTAAACAGTTTCCACATATTTGTTGTATTTGTTTGATTTTGATATCCCCAATTTGTAATTTACATGTTGGGCTGTCTCTTTTGCTAACAAACATGCATTATGTCTTCTTACAACTGATGTTTACTCATTTCTTCTTGCTTTCTGTCACTACCTTATGTAGCAGTTCTTTTAGTTTCCTTTCTGTGTCTGCTATCAACACTGTGTCATCTGCATATCTTATATTGTTAAGATTATGGCCGCCGATAATGAATCCTGGTAGAGTTTTTAATTCCCTCAGAACCGCCTCACTGTATAGCTTGGATAAGTCCGGCGAGGAGAAACATCCTTTTTATTTTTTTATCTCGATAACTCCACTTCGAATTCCTCAGTTACAGACATGAATAAAGTTCTGAGTGACTTTGGTAAAGGCCAAATAGTTATAAATAGAAGACTAGGCATTTCCCCTAAAACAACAGTTTGTGAAGCTTTACGTTCAGTTGCACTTAGTGCCTATGGACAGTGGTCAGAGGAATGAGAATCTCTAACCCTCAAAAAGAAAAAGGCAATAGGCAGATAAGGCTTAATCAATGCGAAAAGTGGACAGAAGCTTTCCTGACAAGACTACTACTTTTATGTGCCGTGTCCGTTCAGGACGTGAGCGGTCATGGCTCTCCACAACTTCCTCTCCTTTGTATAGCCTTTAAAATTACAAAAAAAATGTAATTATTCATCTCGTGGCCCCACTGTAGGCGATCATGGCTCTCCACCTCCTATCCCTTGCAGCTCTTAACAACTTCCTTCCCTCAGACCACGTTCTGTCATCCGCTTACTTAAGGCCGCTAGGTATGTCATGCGTTGTTTTCGTTTGTCTCTCTTTTACCTCTATTCGACCCGTGAGTATCAGATTCTCCAGGTCCTCTTTCCTCATTATGTTTCTCAGGAACTTCAGCTGCCTCTTCCTGATGTTAAGTATAAGCCTCCTCCTTGTTTGCACCCTCTCTAAGACACGCTCGGTCCATCATATCCCCAGCATCCTTCTGTAGAACCACATCTCTTTGTGGAAACCGTCCAGCATTCGCTGCCGTAAAGAAGGATAGATATCACGTAACAGCTCAGTATTCTTTTCTTCGTTACCAAAGAAATCCTCCCGTCTCGCAATATTCTGCCCAGCTTTTGGATCAGAGATAATCCCATGATGTCCGAGTATTGAGAAGGCTGAACAAATTTCGTCAAATACATATTTTTCCCCCACTATTAATATGGCTTGCAGGTAAATCACTTGCCTCATAATGAGCAAATTCTATATATAACAGACCATTCAATATGCCTCGCCAATTTATTTATTTTCGACATCTTGAGTAGACAAATCAAAAGAAGAGGAAAGACAAAACAAAAAAAAGATTACAACCCCAGTATTAGAGACCGGAGATGTGTCTAATTAAAATATCTACTCTCCATGATATAAAAACAAAATAATAGAGTAAATGTGAGATCGTGTAAACTGACTTTAAGTTCTGTTTCCGTTCTCAACAAACCACTTAAGAAAGGATTTCAAACATGAAAAAAAAATTTTTCTGTTCGTCTTACCTCGTACAACAATAGCACTTAACCGCAATTAAATGCGTCATCTTGAGAAAGCAAGGGAATGTATGAGATTCACACTTGTTTTAGAAAAGCCATTTACTACCAATTCAAGGAAGTTAGAATACCTTTGTAATAAAGTCAGTGGCGTTATCAGCATTTGCAATGGCGTCAGTCATTTCCCAACAATGTATTCTGATTTTAATCATTCTTTCATTCATTTGGCCGGACAATTTTCCTCTTTTTTTTTTCAAGAGTTTATATTTGAACGTATTATCAGATTGCTAACACGATAAAAGAATTATTTTTTAAATGCGTTGTCACTTTAGGATGTTGGCGATCGTGGTACTCTGCAGATTCCTTTTTCTTAATATCTCCGACCTGTCACGACATTTTGGGAAAGTTAGTGAAATGGTTTGCTGTTTCCTTATTTACGGGTTTGAATTTCTTTTTCCTACATCGGCTGCTGCCCAAAGAATAGAGATGCCAGATTACTCTGCTATTTAACCCATAGCTGGGAGAGGAAGGAAGAAATGGATTCAAGTTTTTCCAAAGAGCATCTGTATGAAAGTAAAAGAAAAAAAAAAAAGATTTAGATTTGAACCCGTTTTCAACGATTCAACTTGCCGCAGAATAACCGTTAAGATATCCACACATCCACTCAAATGTAGTTAGGATACCGTTTCTTTTCAGGAAGTAAGCGATAATGGCTCTTCACAGCTTCCTTTTCTCATGATATTTGTAAATAGCTATGATATTTTCAAAATTTTTAAATTCAGAGATTTCCTTCTTTTAGACTGGCTGATGCTCAATGGTCAGAGAGCCCAGCGTGCACAACTTAACATAGATGCGAAATGGGGAATTTGTGTGAAAGTGAATGTAACTGACTACGATGGAAATTGAACTCAGTTCGCAGAGATATTTTCTATGCTGATAACAGCAACACCATCCCCACATCGCAAATATTTTAGCAATGGAAAAATGATCCATAAGTTTACTTCTAACATCTCCGCCTAAAATGTCTACTTCAACAGTATATTTCTAATGTATCCGCCAAGAAAATCTACTTCAACTCTAGAATGCTAAAGTCTCCGCTTAAAATTTCTACTTCAATTCTATATTTCTGACATCTCCCCCTAAAAAATCTACTTCAACTATATAACGCTAAAGTATCCGCATGAAAAGTTTAGTTCAACTCTATAATTCTAACTTCTCCGTTTAAGAAGTCTAATTGAACACTATGCTTGTAACGTCTCCGCCTACCAAAACTACTTCAGCTCTATACTTCTAAAGTCTCTGCCTAAAAAGTTTTCTTCAACTCTACTTCTCACCTCCCCGCCACAAAAGTCTACTCCAACTTTATACTTCTAACGTCTATGCATAAAAATCTACTTCAACTCTAACCTTCTAACGTCTATGTCCAAATGTCTACTTCATGTCCATGCTTTTAATATCACTGCTTCTATATCAAATCTATACTTTTATCGTCGTCTTCATTTCTGTACTTCTAATGCCCAATCCTAAAATCTCTATTCTTCTAAAGTCTCCGCCCAAATGTCTACTTTATCTCTATACTTTTAACGTCTACGCTAAAAATTCTTTTCAATTCTATCCTTCTAATGTCTAAACCCAGAAAATATTCTTCAACTCAATAATATCTCTGCCCCAAAAGTCCTTTTTAACTTCATACGTCTAACGTCTTCGCCTAAAAATTCTACTTCCACTCTATATTTCTAAAGTTTCCATCTAAAAAGTCGAATTCAACTGTATA